CCAAACCGTTGTAAGAATATTCACTAACCCATATCGTCCCGTCGGTGTCGTAAGAGACGACAGAAATAAATTGACACAGAAGATGGGCAGCAGCATCTTCCTCGAAATAATAGGAAACTGCGGTTGTTGACCAAATATGCTCTATGAGGCAATCATGTTGGTGGCCTTCGTTCAGCAGTGACATTTTGATAAGAATGTAATGGTAATGGGCACTACCATTGTAAATACATGTAGGCGTATGATGTATGAGACGATGAAAGAAAGGGAATGTTACATTCGTGATAGGTACAGTATGAGCGAGCAAAGATAAGAGAGAGTGGGGCATGGACGGCTATAGACAAAAAGACAGTGTATAATTTTCTTTTTGGTATAATAACAAAAAAAAATTCTTTAACTTAGGTCTACAAGGATTATTATGTGGCCAGAGTCGCCCAGGAAGCATGTAGTAATGGTTGTGTTGGGTGACTGCTCTTCCATTGGACCGAGTATACAATATTTATTTTTAGTGTTTTTAATGACTAAACTATAGATATTACAATTTTTCAAGGGCTAATACTAAATGAATGATAAACTTCAGATATTACATTGTGTCTAAACTGTGATTCCCTATTAATCATTTTCATCTTCATTTTCATCTGGTATAAAACAGTACTTCCTGTTTTATCACTATGCTTTATGTATTAGGAGAATGGAGGTTAAAGCCGTAAGACGAGTGTTACTGAACCAATTGTTTTAATATAACATTGAATATTGATAATATAAGGAGATTGAGTCAGACGAAGTTTTTTTTTTTTGAAGACCTATTCCCACATGCATGTATTGGATTGGAGAAAGCAGTATCAACCTCTCGCAGTTTTGATGATGGTCCCTGTCAGGTCTGCGAAATTTACGTCTGGCGTAAAAGAAATAGTTATATCGCCATCTGTCGAAATCATTTAATTACTTCTAAATTTAAAACTTCGCCTGGATGCGGGTTGCCCGTCCTGCACCGCACCCTGCCCATCATTCAACTCGTCTACTGCTGACCATAGGCCTCCCCCAAGGAATGCGACAAAGCAACGATCGACTTCCTGCTTATTTTACCAGGTCGTCATTACATATATTTGGGACCGCTTTTTACTTCGCTTAACGGTACAGTGTTGCCACTCGAGAACTTTTCTTTATTACTATCATTTAGAAGAAAATATTCAGGATCATGTATTTTCTAAACTCACCTTAGATGATGTGTTGTGATATAACAGGTGTTTATTAATGAATCGCTCCAAAGAGCTCAATACTTACTTGTTTAGAGTTTCACTCCGATACTCAGCATTCTGCATTTCTTTGCTAAATCAACACTAACTACCTTTAAATACAAAATGGCACCCATTTAAGTTGTTAATGAATTATAGTCTATAACTATGTAATTATTGTGCATAAAACTAATCTCTGAGAGAGACAAAAACATTATCAAAAATATTTTAATCGTTTTGAGAACGTTATAAAAATTATAAAAGCCCGAGATTGTTAAGAAAGTACGTTTTATATTTTGTGGTATACCAGAAACCCGAGTTAAATCTCCCTAACAAGACTGATTTTTTATCGTAATTTGATGTGACCTTCCCGGATACCTGCATGTCGAAAAGATCGAACAATTCGAGATTATCAACTTTTTAGGAGCAGCGCTAATTCTGGGGCAGCGGTAGAAAATACACTGAAAACATGTGCCATTTTAATTTAAAGAACTACAATACTGATGCAAACGAAGCAATGCAACACTGATAGCAAAAAAAAACACAATTACTTCAATATTTTATTAAAAACAAATAAATGTTAGTACAGAAATACTTTACATAAAATTAGTAGCAAAAACAACAATTCATTAGAGAATAATAAATTAGAGACTGCCTTCATAATTATACAACAAATATTGACTGACGATTCAGACTGAACTTTCAATTAAAGTGGACTGTTCAGTTTTAAAATTAATAAATATTTCACGATTTAAAAACTTATGAATTATGAAATAGCAAAAGTGAACTGCTCGGCAGTGATTTTACACCAGGTTTGTTAAAAACTTTAAATTCAATATCTACTAGTTATCTAATAGTCAATGAAGGCACTCTTACAAATATTTTAATTAAATAAAGCAGAAAGTTAGGTTCTACTTAGCATTCTACGTTTAGCAGTACTACTCACTTACCTGTCATTAGTATTTTAATGGACATTTTATTTATTTATTTAAACTTCACATACGCACATGATATAAAGGCGAACTTATCTAATATCTAAAGCATTTTCTGCCAGTCACCCTCTATCTATATATATATATATATTTTATATATTTACTTTTGTTCTCAATATGTTTGTGGGTCTTTGATATCTTTTTGACTTAGACATTGACGAAATAGTAATGCTAGAAGTTAGATAACAATACCCAAAAATATTTTTAAATGTAGCACAAATGCACAAAGTAACAATTTATTAAAAATGATGCAGCTAATAAAAAATATTATAGGCACAAATATATGTTCATATATGAAATGGCCTATAAGGCAAAAGCTAGTTTGGTTTAGTGCATTCAAATATTGAAATTCATAATAATTTAAACTCATACGTTTTTACTCTTATTTAATTCTGTGAAAGATGTAATTAAAAGTTTGAATGCAAGAGTTTGAAAATCATGCAAGAAAGTGTATAATTGATGACATTTTGCAAAAGAAAACGCATTAATAGTTCCATACACGAATAACACAAGTCTCATTATTGCATAACATTGCATTACATAATATAAATATAGCTTAAATATTTCAACAGTGATTGAAGCTTGCAACGCAGTGAAATCTTAGTACGCGTGTGACTTTACAAAATTAGATTTCGATGCGGCGAGGGACGGAATCGATCCTGCGACGTATTTCCCGCTGGCCGCAAGCCCGTTTGCCTGTGATTCGTTCCAAAAGAAAGCGTGTATTGGCAGTTGTTAAAAATTCTTGCTTAGAAATAGAGTTGATTTTCATTTGTCAAACAACAACATTATTATGTAATGTGTTGAATGTAACATTTTATAGGTATGATATTTCCACTACAATTTTAAAACAAACGCTAAAGAAAATTCGTCTACAGGGAACCTAATGGCGTTTATTTAAATACTATGTAATTTATGTATATATACTCATATTCACGTGTTGTCTTTTTAATTTATAATAACAAAACAATTATAAAGTCTCTTAAATGTTAATTATTTTGAATTGAAACGGAAATCTGGTAAAGAAATTATAGTATGGCAATACCAGAAATTGATTTTTTGTTTGTTAATTGAGGCCAGTGTTTGTTTTAAAAACGTAGATAGTAAATCGCACTGTCTTAGCGTAACGAAATCATACTCTTGCTCTTGGCTTTAAAACTACCAGATTGTAATCGAGTGGAAAGATAGAGGTCAGCTAATGAGGGCATCCACAACTTTTTCTGCCACCAGGGCGGCGCCACTTTAGAGTGAGGTAAAATATTTGACAGATTTCATAGCGGGGGCGATAATTTCTTAGGAAAATGTATTCTTTAAGGTTTCTTTCCGTATTTTTAGTTATATTTTATATTAATTACATTAGAAATGAATAAACCAAACTATAAATATAACTTAAGGTAGAAAAATTAAAAATCTAACCACTGACTCATTGTGTTGTATATTAATATAATACTCTAGATAATGATAAACTATTATTTAAAACTAATTTCTCAATTAACTGACACTATGTAACGAAAAGCTTTACCTCAGTCACAAATAGCGACATCTGGTGAGTAGAAGATTATTAGCCCTCATTATCCCACTCCTATGCTGTACGCATTACAAAAAAAAACCGTTTGGTTTAAATGCGTAGAATATCGACAACAAAGGTATGGACACTCGCCGACCGTCGTCGTTTTTTTTCGTAAGTGGAAAATATCATACCTATATGGAATGTAAATATCAGTAACATGTGAAAGGCAAAACACAAAAAGCTTTTATCTAGTTAATCTACAAGTCTACAAGCACTACAAAATTAATTAATCAAATATGAATGCATGCAAGGCAACTAGGTATACAACAAAATAATAGTAATCTGTGGTAAAAATACATAAAAATTACTGTACCTTAGAGACAATAGCGACATCTGGAGACTGGACCTTTTGCAGAAGACTTAGATCTTACCTTAGAAACTGTCGAAAAATTCGAGATAGTTTTTGCGAAACCAAACTAGTGTTTTTCTTTAGGACAAATTTTGCGTAAAATAAGTTGAGATTATGAAATTAATTTATAAATCTAAATTGAAATATTATCAATTATTTCATATGTGAATTGTTTCTTATTTTATTAATTAATATATCAATTTAATACATTTTTCAGAAAGTAATATTTTTAAATAATGTCTATTTCTAAGAAAGTTATGATTATTATAATAATTATGAATTGGAACTCCAAAATAATATCTTGAATGTTCATAAAAATAAGGTCTCTAACATTAAAGTGAAACAGACGTAACCCAGCATATATTTTTATTAACGCTGAAAGAACTTTTAGAATCAGTCTTTTAGTTTTCCAGATCTAATAAAATTACATCATTCGTGTATAGGTATAATGTGCTCACTATAAGAATAGAACGTGAAACTAGTTTTGTATAGTTATATATTTTATATATTTCATACTAACTTCAAGTGTATTGTGCAGGATGTACAATAAATAAATTTAAAAAAAATTAATGAATACTTATTTCATTAAATTTGCTATCTATTAAATTATGTAGTCTATGTAGTGACCGTATTTTTCATTTTCCTAATAATCTAAAAATGGTGGTTCACCATGACGATGTCATGAAAATTGATTTTTAGTGAGTGAATTTGTCAGAAACCGACTTATATTTACATTTTTATTTTTACCCTGCGCACGTAATATCTGATATATACCTACCCTGCTTTCGGCCAGTGCTGATGTGTGAGTTCCCAGGTCTAAGTTCAATGCAGGCCACTTTGAGATGACCTCAGCTTACCTTAGCCCTCTTCAACAATTCCAGTTGTCCAGCGGACACGTTCTCAGGTTTTCCACCCCAAGCGCGCAGAACTGAAGCCTGCAAAGCGCGTCCATAGCTGAAGGTGAGCGCCCACGGCCTCTTGAGGTCTACTGTGTTGATGGCGTTCAGGTTCACCGAAGCCTCTTCCTCGGACTGACCACCAGAGAGGAATGTGACTCCTGAAAATAATTAGATACATTGTTATCTCTATCTGATTAAGTCGCTCGCTGTCGTCTAATAGAGTCCGCTGCTGAACATTTTTCCATAGTTGTCGCACTTAGTAGACTGGTTGGCTATACAATTTCTTATTCTTTTATAGGATAGGGTGACAAACTAGCACACAGTCCACCCGATGGTAAGTGGTTGCTGTGGCCCATAGACATCTACATCCGTCCTCACCTGCGAATCAAAACGCAGATGTGTTGTCACCCGTGAGGACTAAGACGGCATGCTTCTTTTCCAGTAAAAAGGGTCTCCGGTTCTCTGCACTCACCATACGAAACACAGCAGCTTTTACGCTGGCATTCTGTCAGGGATAATCTTCCTAACGGGACAGACAGTAACAGAGCAATGGCAGTAGTGATCTAAGCCATATTTTTATCCGAAGCACTTGGGAGATATTTTTGAAAGAAAACCGAAATATTGATAAAATGTTCTTTAACTATCTTAAATACATTCTTACCAGGAACAGCCGCTGGAACAGTCCTGAGCAGAGCTGTGACGGTGGCGCGACCAATATCCATGGGAGTGTAGGTCTTCTTGCACGATTGTCCAGCCGTCACCTGAAATATCGACGTATATTTGCCAGCTCCACCATTATCAAGTCTCAAAGTAGCCATCCTTTCGTTGTTTTACAGTATACATTTCGGAATGTACGCAGGTATGGCATTACTTAATTCCTTCCTCTACGTTCCATCATCAGACCACCAGATGCACTGCTTGTCTCCACCACTTTATTGCCTCGAGATACCATGCATTCGAATCAAACGCTTTGTGTACAGCAAAAGAGTGGAATAATTTTCCAGCATCTGTCTTTCCTTCCGATTATAATGTCTTCAAGACAATAGGCCTTTGTTAAGCTGAGTAAGTTACTTTACCGTTCTCGTATGTATTACCACATACCATGATGTGGGATATTATTCAAGTACATATTATAAAAGAAGACTAGATTGTTTAGTATTAAAATAAAACATTGCAAGTAATATTCCAAGCATATTTATGTTACAGAAACACGCGTTAGAGAAGAGTGATGATTCTTTTCAGCTTAGTAGATATCAAAGGTTTAAAAACACAACTAGCAATCCGCCCCGGTTTCGCACTTACCGGGTCCGATTGTGAATCTAAACTATTCTCGAATCAACTTAATCGCACACACAAAATTCATCAAAACCACTCGTCATTTAGGAGTTCAGTATTATACACACGGACAGAAGAATTTTATATTTAAATATTAGCTGGTTCGCCTGCGTTGATACAGAAACTCCTTCATGTACTTTTTCTTGTGCTCTAAAGTAGACTTTGAGTTAATTCTGGATAAAGCATATTTGTTTTCTAAACTTCATCCAAATTCGCTTTGCCTTATACGTAATTTAATTACAAACATTCAAACATCTTCACAATCTTATACATATTATATTAGTATTATATTTCATTAATCGATGTATTAATAGTTATACTCACCATGTTGGGTTTAAGAAGAGTTCCCTCAAGGTAGACGTGGTGATCATTCAGGGCCTTGTACACTGCAGCGAGAACAACCTCGGTCACCTTCTGAGCGCGGTCAAGGTCATGTTCACCTGAATAGTAAAACACATTTATATATGAAATATATAATAATATTTGGTATGTAAAAAAAATATTACCAAAAAACATACTATAAGTTAAAGTAGAGACGCCGGCCGGCAAGTGTAGTTTGGTTTACAGTAAACAGTTTGGTCGACTTGTCTCACTATATAGAGATTTATCCGTTAACCAGTCTCTATTGCTGACTGGTTTTGGGCCACTAGAGATGATGACTAGGCGCGACGATATAGGTAGGAATGAATATCGTGTGTCAGGTCCCCACGGCCCTAATATCTTTACACGAAATGATACGAACATGTAGCCCAAAAACATTAAATTAATATATTACAATTAATATTTTCAGGACCGTGCTTTGTGGCATTCTTTGGGGGAGGCCTATGTTCAGCAGTGGACTTGTGAAGGGCTGTAATGATGATGATGATGATGATGAATATTTTTAACAAAACGTTATAAGAAATACCTTATAGGTATTATAATGGCTTTTCGGGCCTTTTATGTACAACAAAACAGTGGATGCAATATTGTATTGTGGCAAAATTGGAGGATTATCGTAAGTATTATTGACATTAACAGCTTTTTTATTTAAGGTTCTATTCAAACTTAATTGTAGGACATAAAAGATCAACAAAAATTTTTTTTCCATTTTATGGACACCTGTGAATTGAAGAGCCCATGGGCATTTAAATTTTTATTATGTTAAGGGCTTACCTTTAATTGTATTATAAATTTATTTCTACTTTTTTTTAAAAAAGGGGACCAGTCCTATTAATATTTTTAAATACATACCGTCAGGCAGCACTTCGGGCTCAACGATTGGCACGATGCGCTGGCTCTGGCAGATGGAGGCGTAGCGCGCGAGCACGTTCGCGTTCTCCATGATGGCCTGGTAGGACGGGGTGTTGCGTGCGATCTTCAGCACACAGCGCCACTTGGCGAAGTGGCACCCGTCCTTCTTGTACTGAGCGCAACGCTGGGCGAGGTCGTCCAGACCTAGGTGAAGAAAAATTGAGTAGAGTTAGATAATATATATATTAAGTTCGGGGAAAAAGTTTCTTCGTATTTTATATACAAATTCGACATTTTTTTCAGAGTTTAATTTAATTTAATTATAATATATATGTGCTATTTTATTCGATAACTTGTTGCCATTTGTAAGTAGTGACATAATCCCGTTGCTGTAGAACTCTTGGGAGTTTCGATTAAAAAATGCAACAAGTAGTTTTGACTGTAGTGTAGTCCTCTCTTGATGTTAACCTAACACTACCCAAAGAGTTCTGAAGAGACCGAAACAGGTGAATATCTGAGCGTGCAAGGTCAGGACTATATGGTGGATGCATTAACACTTCCCAACCAAGCTCTCTTAATTTTTGCTGAGTGTTCAAAGATGTGTGTGGTCTGACGTTATCATGATGAAAGACCATTCCTTTTCTGTTGATCTATTCCAGCCGTTTTTTCTCAATTTCTTGCTTGTATCTCATTATTTGTTGGCAGTAGAGATCCGAATCGATGATTTTCCTGGCAGTAAAAGCTCATAATAAACGATGCCCTTCCAATCCCACCATACACACATCATCACCTTAATGCATGTTAATCCGGGTTTCGCTACGGTCTGTGGAGCTTGACTACCCTTTGACCATGATCTTTTTCGCACGCCCTTGTTGTAGGTGATCCACTTTTCATCACCAGTATTCTATTAATCTTGAGAGAATTGCAAATGAGTAAGTACACATTTCATTAGGTTACTTTCAGTGAGCTCGTGTAGTACCCAGATAGCTTTGTTGTATAGCCAGACTTTTTCAAATGGGTCAAAACTGTTCGTGGTCAATCCTCAATTCCTCGGCTATTTTGTAACTACTAATATGTCGATCTTGCTCCACTTTTTCAGAAATGACATCTGCTTTATCCGTATGAGGGCGACTAAAGCAAGCTGCATTTTTGACATTAAAATTCCCGGACTGAAAACGCTTGAACTAACTTTGTGCTACTCTTACTGATACTGCATTAAGTCCATTAAACGTCACAAATTTATTTCGCGTATTGAGTGGAATTTTTTCCTTTTTTGTAATTAAACTTAAGAATGCATCAAATTTCTTAATTAGATTCACTCATATATACTTTTTATTTTTCTTTTTCTTAATGTCCTATATGGATTAATATTAAAACTAGCCAGATACAATTCCCCCGACCATACTCATCACGAGATCTCCAAAACAATATGCCCGATTGACTTGAAATTTGGCATATTATGTAGTATAATATGCTCCTTTCTCGACGTAGACACCCACTAAGAAAGGATTTTGAAAAATTCAACCTCAGAGGGGGTAAAATAGGGTGTTACAACTTGTAATGTATATTCCCCAAATCATATAAAATGCTTGTGACTCATGATTTTTGTTAACATTAAATACTACATGCTTATTTTAAAATAATAAATAATAAAATTAAACTACTTTTTATGGATTTTATCGCATTTATTTCCCCCATGACCAAAGGTGCTGTAAACTACTCGAAACGAATGGAATTTATAATAAGATAATTAAACGCTATAAAATGCGTGAAAAGTAGTTTCATTCAATGTGTAGTGTTCGCGTAAATATAATAAATCATTAAAATAATTTTATAGATATTTATTTATAGATATTTTTTATTTTTATTTTGACAGTAACTAATTATATCGCTTTTCTATTAGTAGCCCGACGACCCTCTAGGAAATCAGAATCGTCCTCATCATTACTACAGAAAAGACCACAAACCCTTGCAACCGAGCTGGAGGACATTACATAAAATAGGTACTCTTATATAGTCTTAATCTAAAGTTGACCAACTAGTCTTCCATTTGCAATGCAAATACGTATACGTAATCTACTTAAACTTAAATATGGACGGCATAAATATAAAACGTTGAACTCCGTTCTCCAAGTTATTTTTACTTCTTCACGGAACGACAACATGGATGGTTTGCTTGTTTCTCTATCATTGCGCGATGTAGTAAAATAACTAGCATATTAATTTTTGGGAATCTTTTTAATATATAGGAAATAAGTAATTTAATTTGTACGTCTTTGTATCACCAAAATATAATGCTCGATAGCATTTATATGTTTTCTAAAATAAACATAATAAGATAATTGCTGACGTTAATATTGTCCTCCAGGCCGATTTTCGGTCACAGCAGATATATTAGTAGTATAGTTGTAGCACGAATGGGTCGGCTCGACCGGGGAAGGACTACGCTCTCATAGAATACCAGCGTAAAATAGCAGCTTAACACTGCTGTGTTTCGTATGGTGAGTGTAGAGAACCGGAGACCCTTTTTGCTGGAAAAGACGCATTCCATGTTAGTCCTCACAGATGACAACGCATCTGCGTTTTGATTTTTAATTGAGGATAGATGTAGATGTCTATGGGCCGCAGCAACCACTTACCACCATCAGGTGGACTGTGTGCTCGTTTGTCACCCTTATCCTATAAAAAAACGACTAGTAATCTGAGCAGATCATGATTATAGTGCATTATAGTGTGTGCGCGAACACAGTTGCACTCTCTATTCCCTCACTCTCAACGGTAATTGGACACAATGGGAGAGATCAGGTGTATGACCAACAGTTTTACGTGCTTTCCCGAGGCACGAGGGTGAAACACGGCCAGCCTTCTAACTGCTACTGAGAATTTCTCGACAGAAAAACCTAACAACCGAATTTGGCCGGCCTGGGATTCGAGTCCGGGACCTCATAAACAGCACTCGAGTTTACGACCATAAATATGGGACTTGTTAATAATTTGACCGCAGTGTCACCCATCGGATTCTAGCATAGCTATAAACCTCTCGACAAAATAAATATATGACCTAAATATGACCTCAATCGGTCAAGTCGAACAGAAAATATACGACCACAAACAGACCAACGATTATCTATACAAATAAATAAAATTGAAGTGTCTGTTTGTAATGTCAAAATAACAGCTTTTTACTAAATGCATATGAAAGTATATACGGTACTAATAACAAAAACAAAATTTAAAGTTTTTGTCTATCTATCTGTCTGTTTGTTCCGGCTAATCTCCGATACCGCTGGACCAATTTTGACGGGATTTTCACTGGCAGATAGCTGATGTCACAAGGAGTAACTTAGGCTACATTTATTTTAGAAAAAGAATTAGGGTTCCACGCAAAAAAAAAAAATTAAAGCCCCAAATAACACGCGGGCGATGTTGCGGGGAACAGCTAGTACCTATATATAAAGATAAAGGTTACTATCACTGAAACAACAATTTTAACAAGTAATGTCACAAAGATAACGAGGATCCTGCTCTCTTGAGGGGCTTATTTATTCAGTGTTCGACTTTGACACTGTTATCTGCGAAGATGACACAGTCGAGCCCCTCGGTATTGATTGTAAATAGTGAACACCAAATAACTGATAACTAGTTATTTTTAATGGAATATAGAGACAAATAAACACGTTTATCATATTGGAAAGTGTATTATCTTTTGTGCTGGTTAGAGTATGTGTATATGTATATATAAGGTTACATAAGTTTGTGGTGATTGAAGATGCATTTGTAACGCAACTATTGTCATTAGTTACGAGGTTGGAACAAATTGCGATTGTATACGTTGACTTCCTTTAACATCTTAGCAGTGCTATAGTAGAGAATTATATACATATATAATTCAAAGAATGCTTTATAACTAACTAGCTGTTCCTCTCGACTTGGAATTTACTACGATTTTATGGGTTTTAATTATTTTGCGCGGAACCCTAATTCTTTTTCTAAAATAAAAGTATCCTAAGTTACTCCTTATAACATCAGCTATCTGCCGGTGAAAGTACTGTCAAAATCGGTCCAGCCGTTTCGGAAATTACCCGGAACAAATAGACAGACAGACAAAAATTTTAAAAACTGTTTTTTTTTTGTTATTGGTATCGTATATACTTTCATATGCATTTAGTAAGATGCAGTTATTTTAAAATTACAAACAGACACTTCAGTTTTATTTATTTGTATAGATTCGTAATTATTAAGACGAACTCTGTATGAAAAAGAATTTTTTATCTATTATTATATCTCATTCGAAAAAAAGATATTCCGATTTCAGGTTTAGGCATCATTTGCACGTTATAACGTACACCTTTACACCTTTCAGTAAGTAATGATAAACCCGCCAATACGAAGGTACCTATTATGGTTAGTAAAGTCTAACCAAATGTTCCGATATATAAAATAAATAAAATAGTCAATAACGGAACATTCGTTACATTTTAATTTTGATGCATTTTATTTTTGTACACTTTTTACCATTTCTTTTCAAAGATAAATGTAAGTAAGCTTTTATAAGGGGACGTCCGTTAACTACGTGAGGCGATTTTGGCGATTTTTCTACATTCCCCCTCCCAATGGGGTCGAAACATATCGTGGGATATGTTTCGACCCCCTCATCCCCCCCCCCCCCAATATCAAGTTAAGAAATTATTTTTATATAATTTGTGGGGATCGCATTACCGCGATAAATATTACTATGTAGGATTTAGCCATATTTAATTTAATCCAATTTTCTCAAGATTTTACACTGAGATTCTGTGAGATTCAACCCTATCCTCTTTCTACCCTTTCCCCCCTTAAACACCTCACGTGATTAATGGACGGCTCCTAATGAGTTAGTTTGACTTTGACCACGTTCAAAGAATACCCGCATTACAATACCTATAATAATGTAGGTTATTGGTTTGCGGTGTAACCGGTTCATGTTAACCTTAACAAGGCCCACTGCTCAACAAAGACATCTTTGCCTCATAGGCGAATAATTTGACATAGTTACCATGCTTGGCAAGATGGATCGGCTATCGATTTTCAATTTTTCATGTTTAGAATTTGTCGTCAGGAAGTCGCCTTTTTGATACCCACGGGATGATATGGGGGTAAGTACGAGGGGCACTGAAATGAGCGGGAATAAGAAAAACCCCATGCACGGAATAGCTAAATTGTATTTTATTGTTTTTCGAAGTATTCTCCGTTCAACTTAATGCACTTTTCTATTCGTGCAAACCAATCATTAAAACAGTAATTCCAGTCTGAAGTTGATGTTGACAAAATGGCTGATTTGTACGCTTCCACAGCTGCTTCGGGGTCTTCAAACCGTTGATCGCGTAATAAATCTTTCATTCTAGGGAATGTAAAGAAATCGTTTGGGCTCGGGTCAGGACTGTACGGAGGATGGCTCATCAGCTCAACGCTTTCCTGCTTCAAAAAATGATTTGTCTTCCGAGCCGTATGGGAGCTCGCATTATCGTGATGTAAGACGATGCGACGTTTCGGGTTCTTTTTTCGGAGTTCGGCTATCATTTCTGGCGAACAAACCGTGATATACCACCCAAACTGCTGACTGATGCTTTCTTTCAGGTTCGTATGAATAAATCCATGATTCGTCACCTGAGACGATATTATAAATGGCATTTGACTTCCCTCCGTTGAAGCGTTGAGAGTATTCCGGCACCAATCTACACGAGCCGCCTTTTGCTCTTCGGACAAATTGTGGGGAACCCAACGGGAAACTAGCTTTCTTACACACAGCTCATTATGTAATATCGACTGAATTGCAGTCATTCCGATACTGACAACAGCCCGAATCTGCTCGTATGTCACATGACGGTCATCTAATATAATAGTTCGCACAGCTGCGATGTTTTCAGGCGTGACCGCTGTTCTTGGTCGACCTGCAGAAGAAACAGTGCTGAGCGACACACGACCGCGTCGGAACTCGGCATACCAGCGGTATATTGTCGTTTGACTCATTGCTTCAACATCATAAATCGAAACAAGTTCGCTGCGACATTTATCTTGAGATAAGCCGCGACGAATTATGGCACGGAAATATTCACGCGTGAGCTCCATCTTTAAACCAACATAGTTTTTGTTTTTAAACATTTTTTTTTAATTGTTCGAATGTCATTAAGATTCTAAGAGGCCAGTATTCAAATTCTAAAAAAGGTATTATTGTAGCTCAATGCGAAATATTCTATTCCCGATCATTTCAGTGTGCCCCTCGTAGTGTATTCAAAATCGTCTCCTTTACACGGCGAGAAACACATAAGAGGGCAGAAAGGGAATTCCTATCACATCGTTAACAGTTTTATATCAAGTTTTTTCTAATAATTTATCTTCCTCATGGGTGGATTACGCATCATCTTTCAAGTTGGTAACTCTGTGCGAAAGTCTGGGGGCTGCAGTAGCAAATTACCGTTCGGTGGACATTTAATTTGTTTAGTATTAAAAAAAAATACATTAATATACATTGATTACGATAACGAATAATCGGTTAAAGTAAAAGTATAAAAAAGAAAGCATTGGTACAATTTGTGTTAATAGTAAATGATTTACCCTGAGTGGTGCATTCGTCCTCGGAGCCGAAGAGTGGTACAACACCCTTGTCGACTTTGATACCGGGAATGATACCACGTTTCTCAAGTAGTGACACCAAGGGTGTACCGTCGTCGGCCTTCTGGTACAAAGTCTCGTGGAACAAGATCACACCAGAGATGTTTTCTGAGATAGCCTGAGAAATAAAATAATTATATATATAGAGCCAGCTGTTGCTAATCTTTTATCTGAATTAAATCAGAATGTTCATATCGAACATTCGTTTATACGTGTACATACATAGTCGCACATTATACATGGTAGAGCCATACTGCAGCCATATAAATAGTATAGTTGTCGCACGAATGGGTCGGCTCGACCGGGTAAGGACCACGCTCTCACAGAATACCAGCGTAAAATTGCAGCTTAACACTGCCGTGTTTCGTATGGTGAGTGTAGAGAACAGGAGACCCTTTTTACTACTGGAAAATAGGTTTTCTATCTTAGTCCTCACGGCGAACAACGCATCTGCATTTTAATTCGCAAACGAAGATTTGTAGATGTAGATGTCTATGGGCCACAGCAACCACTTACCATCAGGTGGACTGTGTGCTCGTTTGTCACCCTTATTCTATATAAAAAAAATCTATTAACTTTTCGTCGTCACATCTAATCTTAAGGCGCTACTCCTTGCGAACGACCTTGAGCTTAGTTTTTATTGTTTACTAGGTGGTAAGGTTTCCTTTCTTGACTAATAGTCCGTGTGGATGGGTACCCCATTTTTACCTATTTTTCCACCAAAAATTCTTGCACTATTGTGGTTGGTCTGTATAGAATGCCAGTATAGTTACCGCCTGTGAGTTCCATCTCATAGCTAATAACGCATCTGTTTCTTAGTTTGATGTTGGCTGCAGGTTTCCATCACTCATCACATAATGAGGCAAGTCGACCAAACTGCTTAGTACCCTACTAACCGACAGTGACACGTCGACCGGCGTTTCTACTATAGCTTATAAACTTTTTTTTCTATCGACTTCAAAAAGGAGACGGTACTCAATTCGACTGTATGTTTTTTTTATGTGTGTGCTCATAACTTTTTTCTGGGTGATCGGATTTCGATGATTCTTCTTTTATTTGAAAGCTGGAGTTATTCTTAATAATTTATATTAAAGTCGATTGACAAAATTTTTAATTTTAAATTATTATAGAATAAGGTTGACAAACGAGCATACAGTCCACTTTATGATAAGCGGATGCTGTGGCTCATCATAGATAATCTACATTAATCCTAAATTAAAAATCAAAACATACATTTTAAAAAATGCAGATGCGTTGTCACCATCGAGGACTGAGATGATATGCGTCGTTACCAGTAAAAAGGGTCTCCGGTTTTCTAAGACTATATTATATTCTATACGAAACACAGCAGCATTAAGCTGCTATTTTACGCTTTTTTTTTGCTATTTTCTGTGAGAGCGTGGTCCTCCCCGGTCAAACCGTTCATTTGCGCTGCAACCACAATTTAGTCGCAGCATCGCTCTACCACGTAAAAATTAGAAGCTGACCGAGTGTAGTAACCACTTAGTATGAGATGGACAGTAAGTTGTTTAACACTTCATTTTATAAAAAAAAAAACTTTCAACTTATAACAAAGCAAAAAATTAACACACTCACAGGGTCAGTGCTGAAAAGCATCTGTCGGTATTTGCGACGGTTCTCTTCGGTGTTTTCAACTCCGATGTCCTGGAGTCGCTTGCCCATGGTTCCTATGAAGGCATAAACGTTTTTATGTATGTTTTGGAAGTAAGGCATTTCAGTGGTAATGTATCTTCAATGAATAAATATTTTTTTTAAAGAAAATGTACTATTTTTATTGTTGGGTACAAGTCTCCTCTCATTTCTAAGACGATTTTGAGGAGAGTTTGCCAACCAATCAAAATTTACTGCTGAATATCCCCTGTAGAGATTGCGTCATAATGGGGAATATTTGCCATAGCTGCCACGCTTGGCAGACAGGTTGGCAACCGCAAATTTTTATTATTTTGAGTGTTAACAGGAAGTGGCTGCTGTCCATCTCCTGGTTCAGTTCCCTTTGTTGCCCCTTATGATACTGAATGAAGCAATGGATTTGCTTTCGCCGCCATTACACGGTCAGACTTCACACTACACAATTTCCTCGAAATATTTCTCATTTCATAGATATATACATTTCCTTGGGAGCACATGATGTGGTATATCAGCACTTAAAATTGCATTTATCTATTTCAATGACGCCGGCGGGCATCGAACTCTGCTCGCGCAGTTTGAAATTTTTATTAGACACCAACATAATACACAATAAAATATTATTTAAAAAATTATATAACTTTAAAAAATGCTCATACCTATGTAGTAGATTTATAATATGTATGCACACAATTAACTAATTTAACAGCAATATAAAAAAAAAACATGAACACGAAATAGCATAGGTTTAAATTGAAAGCAATACATATTATCAATTTTATATCTATTTTTGATGTTCAGCGCAGTCTCATTATAACTCATTGTAGTTGATACATTATCATCATCATCATCATCATTACAGCCCTTCACAAGTCCACTGCTGAAACATAGGTCTTCCCCAACTACTACTTGAAAAATTATAATAGATTGCATTTATGATCGAGTTCATATTGTTAACTCACCCGTGGACTCATCGGCGGCGAGGATACCCTTGCCAGGAGCGACGATTGCCTGAGCGATCTTTTTCAGCTCCTCCTGGATCTCGGGAGTTGGGTATTGGAAGTAGGTAGACATTGTTGCTGTAACAAAATAAAAAATAAAAACAATTAATATTGATCGAAAAATTTTTATTTAATTCGCTTAAAAATATTTTATATATTCTTTTGCAAGAATTGTACATCTCTAGAGAAATAATTTAATTGCAACGAACTCTTAACAATTTTAAAGAAAATGCTATAATATGGAGGAGGGACAAAAAACCTACATTCAAGCAAACTTAAGGCTCAATTTACACCGGCGGAATGGAATGGAAGCGAATTTTTCTAACGAAATTGTACATAGTAAAATGAATTTTATGTTAATTGCGTAACGTGCAAACTAGATATGACAAAAGAAAGACTTCTTTTTTGGCTCATATCTAGTTATGTATAATATAATTCGCTTCCATTCCAATGGAATGGAATTTTGGAATTACGAATTGGAATTTTCAGTCTAGATCTTTTATTAGACAAGAACAGTTGATTAGATGTTATTTTCATATTGTTTATCTGTAGGGCAGAAGAAATTGATGGGTAAAGCAAGAATATTAGAAAAAAGAAAAGAAATACTTGGGTTCGTGATTTATGGAAGAAATGAAAACGTCACCCTTCGCGCCACTTCCCGTGGATTCCACAGACTGGGCGGACATTCGCGCGACTTATTTTTTAACTCATATCTAATTTGCACGTTACACAATTAACATAAAATTCATTTTACTATGTACAATTTCATTACAAAAATTAGCTTCCATTCCGTTCCGCGACAATGTAAATTGAGCCTTAAAAGAAAACTAACAGGGATAAAAGTTTTTTTAAATAATTATATTTGACTGTACCGACCAGTTGTCTGTTTAGGCCACCAACTTAATACTGGATGTTGAGACACAAATCAATGATTAAAACAAAAAAAAACATGATGAAACTGCGCAATCATATGTAATAGTTAGGTATATGTTGCTTATCGAATTTCGTAATGTTTTCACTAATATGATGACAGTTCATTTCGCGTGTTATCATGGAAACATACGATGAGATCGGTAAAAATAGCGAGTTTGTCAAATCGACGCTTATTTTACAAAATCGAGGGTGTGTCGCGAGACCGGAGGTGTGTCTCGTATTATCGATATTAATTAATAAGATATAACGTATTAATAATCCAGTTTTGGAATCTACGTCAGTAATCTAAAAAATCAAAATGGTTGTGTTTTGTTCGGCTTAAATGTATTATCGGTTATATTACGTACTTTAAAAATGATGAACATATAACATAGAAATGATAAACTACTAATATTCCCGTTGACAATTGCAGTGTGCTAGTAGTGCACGACAGTAGCCGAATAGCTGATACAAACCCACGACCATTTTGTGTCATCTAAATTTGAACACCTGGTTGTATCATACTTGTGGCACTTTAGCATCACTTTAAACTAGATGCTGGGGCATATTTTCCGCCGGAGAATCCAAATGTATAGGTACCACCATTTTACCTATTATCTGCTGCTAATTTATTTTACTGTAACATCGGTAGGGGCGGGGGGGGGGGGGGAGCACAAAGAGGTTAAATGCCCAAAATGAATATTGTATTCCAACCAACGGTAAAATTGCAAGAACTTGTTTTAACCTGATCAATTATCTGTATAATATTGTAAATAATTTTAGTAGGGCATGCACAAAACAGTGGGAACATAGCTCTGCTTGATTGCTGAAGTGGGTAGAAATAACAATCTAGAAATACAGTATCCGAGACATAATGGCGACCTACCACCTGGGAAAGGTACTTTACCTACTTAATAAGATATTTGCGCTGATGTATTGTGCTATTGTGTCTTCAGAGCAAGAAATAAAGAAAGAGACAACCGTGTATTATATGTGTTTTTTTTTTTAGGTCTGACATTGTTCTCTTAATAATAAGATGTGTAATTGAGCTTAGTTTAAGGCTTATTATTTAGGCGATATTGTCATCCCATGGACTAGAAAAACAGCGTTACATTTTTTCTTAATAATTTTAATTGTGCCACGTCGGCCTCAAACGTCTCGACACACTTTACATGTCCATGTTTACCTTTACCATGTGGTAAACCAGAATTTAAAATTGTAATAAATAATTCCTGTAATGAAGGTTGGATGTAGTGAAGGATGATAGTTAAATGAATGCTGTCGAAATGGGGTCATTAAGAAGTATGTTAGGAGCCGACTCTGGAATATAGTAGGATCTCTGAACAGATAGGTTGAGAAATTGTGTAATAACTGCAAAGACAATGTTATCGGTGTTAAGAACAGAACGCTTCAGTGGCGTAGACACGTAATACGGATGAATGAGGAAAGAGTGACTGTGCATTGGTGGTTACAAGTTAGTGGCAGAGTTGGCAAGGACCAACTTAGACGGAAGTTTATCTTTAATTCAAATTAACTGACTATAATCTATGTAGAGATATATGGATGTGAATAAAGCGGAGAGGTGTGTCAGGATCGCACAAAATAGGAAGTCCTTAGTCTGCGGTTTTAAGCTTTTGCTGTAATTCTTGTGACATTTCACGAGGAAATTAATACCTAAGTTACAGATTATGGCAGCCTCTTTCCTTAGAAGCTGAATGATAATGAATAATTCAGTCACACTGAGAGCGAGCAAAATAAACATCAGTGTCTTATTATATGGGGCTTTCTCTGAAATATGTATCCGAGAATTCTGGAGAAAATGCCCGCAATGTCAGATTATGGGCAATTTTAATTTTAACATTAAGAGAAAAAAAAATGGCATAACGCGCAAGTTTCAACACAGTCAGAGTCGCATATCCAAGTTTTAATACTTTTCAGTAGATGGTCTGTTTATTAAATTTAGTATGAGCGTTTATTGTTACATTTACGGAGTCTATAATTTAGCAGAATTTTTTTGTTTACTCAAGTACATAATATATGTCAATTTTGTCACCTTCATACATAAATTAATTAAGAATATGTAAATTTTAACGTTCCTGTGATGGTAAGTGGATATTGTGTGTGATTTAGAATCAAAATGAAAACAAGAATTAAGAAAGGATTTCGGATTTTTATCTCTCTGTGGAGCTTTTTGACAATATTAGGACCTTTTTAATAGTCAAAATCGCTTAAGGGATATAAAGCAGCAAAAAACAGTTCACATTTCGGTGTCTATTAATATCGCCCTCGCTACCGCTATGGGCACACTAATAGATCATTCACGTGTAATCGCTGATTATCAGTGTATTATGATTACAACATATAGATTACACGAGTATTGTGTACGATTATTTAGATAAAATATCAAGGAAAAGTTTCGTTCGATTTCGCAGCTTTGAAAGTATTTATTTCAACCTTCACTTTGATATATAAAGTTATTAAATAAGGAGTAAATCGTCCATCTTATCTTAACAGTTACGTCTGATCATTGATTATAACCATAATTGAAGAATAATCTAAATTTATGCATTAATTTTTTTGGTTTGACCTGGTATTACGAGTATCTAATCTTTGTCGTTCTTTGGCAGAGTCGCATCTAATCAAATACCGCTGTATGAAGTAGCAAACGATCGCGAAATTCAATTGAGGAATTTTCTCGTTCAATTTTTATTATGAAAAGATACAATGAATATCCGAAAGGATTTATTAACTATAGTCATTTTGATAATTTAAGATTAACCATTAATTTCACCACAGGCTCCTTTAGCCTGATCGTTACGGTAGCTTTCAGGATAGTCTACAGTGACTTTATTCACTTTGAATAGCGTGACCTGATTTTCTGGACATTTGTGTAGATTTTTTTAACAAAGTAATACTTAACTTTTTTTGTTTGGTGTATTATATATATATATGATATTGAACGAAAAGAACGAGTGTATTATATACAAAGAAAGAATGTATTATATACATTCCTTCTTTCAGTTGCCCATCTGGAACTAGCACTTCCACGGCAACTAGAAGAAGAAACTGAGCTATTTGACCACTATCCCACCAGATAAGTGGTGAAGATAATAAAGTAAAAAAAATAAATAAAACAAAACTATACTTATACATTTGTATAAAATAAATTTTGTTAGATATTATGAACGAAACAGAATTTAAGAGGTAATGAACAATATAATTATAACTAAAATATTTTGTTATTAATCGACTGTAAACCTTTCCTCAAGTTAAATGCACATGCAAAGCACGAGATAAACGAGGGAAAAACTATACTAATATATAGTTTCACAAAATATTTAGGCGAAAATTGTTAACTTTTGGAAATATAATGCGACAAATTGAATTTGATGTGAATTGGAGTTAACCATAACATGCCTTTATGTTGACAATTTACTAAAGTGGTTTAATGAGAGAATCATCTACCTTTCGTCCCAAATCCTGGCCACCATCCTGATTCGGGTGGCCCCTTCCCTTTTTTACCCTTTTTCCCTTTTTTTGGCGGCATTATGATTTACTTATATTTTCACTTATATAATTTATTCTTATATACTCGACATTTCAAAACTTAAATACAAAAAGCTTACCAATCAATTGATGCGTGTGTCAGTCAATCTGTCAATCTAAAATTGTTTTGAAAGTTCAAATTTAGAAAGTATAACAACGTGAAATCTATGGCCATGGCAACTTATGAAATATTAGTAAATATATAGGAAAGGAATATTGTTCCTTTCATCAATGGAAAACTTACTTTTTTAATTGATACTTAATATATTATACTACATTATATTTTTCCCCGCGACTTCGCCGCGTGTAATTTATTGCGATTGGATTTCATGGATTTTATTTTTTTTTCTTTGCGTAGAACCCTTATCCTTTTTCTAAAATAAAAACCTAAGAATAACATCAGCTATCTGCCAGTGAAAATGGCTGCTACGGTTCCTACGGTACGGCGTCACGATTAAGAAGGCACGAGTAAGAATTAAATTTTTCGATATCTCGCTTAGTTTCAGAGACATCGAAAAATTTTATTCTTACTTTTCGGCGTATCTAGTCGAGATCTATGCGAAACCGCCTTTAAATCATGGCGCCGTAGGAACTGTAGTCATGCCCAGTGAAAGTGCCGTCAAAATCGGTCCATTCATTTAGGAGATTAGCTGGAACAAACAGGCAGACAGACAAATTTTTTAAAAATTGTGTTTATGTTATAAGTGCTGAATAGACTAATATATGCATTTTGTAAAAAGGTTACTTTGACATTGCAAACAAAAACTTCAATTTCATTTATTTGTATAGAGTATAGATAATAATGGAATCTTAATTTTTAGGCCCTAGCAGAAACATACCTACGCGCTTCGCGCTTAAGGCATGCAATAAGCAGTACATAGCATTTCTAATGCCCAATATTTATGATTCAATGGAACTTCGTAAATAAGATATTTTCCTTATTAGGTAGAGTAGCTACGTTTCTTAAATCACGTAGGATTAGATTATTTATAAGCAAGGTAGGACCAATTATGTGAGCGTTTCAATGACTAGAAAGTTTAACGAAATAAAGTAGATACGTATCTTTGCTCTTAATTATGATTTTACTGATTGTTTTTATAATAAAGCACTTGCCGTTATTAAGAAAAGGTTAAGGTGACCTTGATAGGTCACTGATAATAAGTCATCGCCCTTGTTATATTTTTCGCTCATCTAACTATATACCTAATATGTAATGCAGAGACAAAATACAACCAATATAACTTTTTGGAGCAATACCAAATATTTCAAGTAATACGTAATATACCTGGACGTAACACTTATTTTTAATTATAACATAATAATTGTAAGTATTACAAATATAATAGGTGGTATACAAATAACCATTATGTAAAGCAAAACTAATGCAATCAAATTATCATTAAATATAAAATAGGAAGACAATTAACTAAAATCAATGTAAGGGTTCCAGATTTTAATTAGCTTCGAGAAAATACAAAAACAAATTTTGTGAGAAATATCTCAACTATAACTATTATTACAAACTCTTAAAAATTATAATTAATTATTAAATATTAAATAAACAACATACAAGAATTTCTTCTGATTGAGCAATAAGAATTATATAAAAGTAAGTCATGCAAGGTAGCCCCTAAACAATATAAATTCTTCCTCAGCATTGATTAACTGAAACAGAATTGTTTTGAATAAAATTAATACTAAACTTACTTTAATTGTATGTATTAATAAACTTCTTCAGCAGAGAATATTACAGACACTCCCGAACTGTTCTTCGCCACAACTGTCAAATTAGTAAAGCCAAGCATAGGACACGAATAAAGGTCATTTGAAGGACTAAAGATAAGCAATAATTTGAAACTGTTTTATCGACACTATTTTGTTGCTTCATAAAAGCGCCATCTATTATAAAACTACTGAACCACTTTCATATCGTTGACACTATTAGCTTTTAGTCGTTGGTAGGATTAGATAAAGATGGCATGGACGATAGTTAAAAAAAATCGTTCGGGTGAAGTGTTATAAGTGCTAAACATCTGGTAAATTGATAACCAATCCACTAGCCACTTGTGAGTGATTAAAACAAATATTTTTTATACCAAAGTATTATTTGGTCATGTCCTTACTTCGCCATCTGTTGAATAAAGATCAACTCATTTCTATAACGAAAACAGAATAGCTTCTAGTAGTTAATAAAAATATACATAGATGGCACAGTTATTAAATAAAAATAATTAAAAGCACTCTGCCATTTTGACGTAAATATCCGTTGGGCTATGTCAATTACTCTGGTTCTACTGGAAATATTTTTTTGCGATCTTTTGACCTTATATTTAATGCACAATATTTTTTATAGTTTTAAACCTCACCGTCTAGTGCTGGCGTAAGATAATTCACTACCCCATATCTTCCCCTAGCTGTCTAAAGAGGTAAAAGAGGAAAATTAAACGAGATGGGCAGCAGAATCTTCCTGATAGTTACTTCCTTATTATATAGTTATTTCCTCTTACAATAATGAAATATTGTAAGAGGCAATCTAAGTTCCTATGTTCATCATTGGAGCCGTGGTAGACTGAATTAATGAATGAAAACAAATTAATGTATTTATTTAATATGTACTTAACTGTGCCGAATGCCGATATTGAAATGTATGCAGAACTTTAAGTGAGGATTTCACTAAGTTCCCATTGATAAATTTGGACGTTTTTTTTTTTAAATTAACACTCACCAATTAATAACCATCTAAATCTTTACACATTTTCACAGCGAAAGAAGAGCGTTCTGGAGTTATTCTATGTTATATAATCTTCAAGCCAGAATCCTCTCTAATACATAATATTCATGAAACTCCGTTTCCGTTGAAGCAATGTGTTTCAATCTCGGTAAATGGAAGTCACCAATTGGTCACTAAATCTTAAAATAGAAATCCCATCTCAAAAGAAAACAATAATGGTGTTTTCGAGAAGGGGCTGCTAGCTTGAATTCAGCCTAGATTCCTTTTTTTTTAATAGGATAAGGGTGACAAGCGAGCACACAGTCCACCTGAAGGTAAATGGTTGCTGTAGCCCATAAATATCGACCTATCCTCGTTTGCGAATAAAATGCAGATGCGTTGTCAACCGTGAGGACTAAGATGGAATGCCTCTTTTCCAGTAAAAAGTGTTTCCGGTTCTTTACACTCACCAAACGAAACAGAGCAGCATTAAGCTACTATTTTACGCTCGTATTCTGTGAGTGTGTGTTACTCCCAAAAAAGGGCTTTATCTCCTAAAGTATAAAGTCACTAAATGTCACCGATTCCTCAATAAATCTTGACACAATAAAATTTAATATATCGTTGGTCAGGATTCCAATTTGAAGGACACAAATTATTTCTGTTTATTTGCAAAAGTCCTAGACCACATACATACCCTTCGGCAAATTGTACAGAAGTCCGAGGACAATTTGCCACTATGTCTAGCGTATCTGTACTATGAGAAAGCCTTTGATTCCGTCGAAATTTGGGCGGTGCTGCAGTCACTCCAGCGGTGCCAAGTTGACTCTCGGTAAATCGAAGTGCTGAAGTGTTTATACAGTAGGGCTACGATGGCTATCCGAGTACAGAACCAGAATACGAAACCTATCCAACTGCAGAGAGGTGTAAGACTGTATTAACATGAAAGAACTATCTCTTTATGAGGCATAATAAATGATATCAACGATTTGTTGGGCTGTCTTTTTTTATACAATTTTAATTTAATTTAATATAATATACAGTAAGTATAAAATAAAAACTTATCCGGATCCGTCTGAGTACTCGCATAAAACAGTGCGGTGCACGATTTTTAGCGGTGACACTTTGGAAATAAATAGGAAAATCTATAACACTAGACAACAATTAAAATCTGAAACCCATAAAAAAAACGCCACTGATTTGAAATTTTAAATTAATTAATGTTTATGAAGTAGTTTTCACCAATAATTTATTAAGGAATTTCGGTACAAATTTATTTTTATAAAGGAATATTAGAGAAATAAGGCCACACACAATAATTTTAAAGCGAAACCGAGGCGAGTCGCTTGTTACAAGGGGCGTGCCAAAGGAAGTTTGATACTCTTTAGGCTTCTTTGACACTGGCAAATTATGCTTCATCGTAAAGGATGAATAAATTGTAAGAAGTTATAGTCTTTATCTATTTATACGAAAAACAGCTGGGCAAAGGCCTCCTCTCATTACTGTGAGAAGGATAAGGAGAAATTAAACCGCCGCGCCGCACTGCATTTGTGCATGAAGGAGGACCTCATATAGACATATCTTCAAAATACTTTGTTCTACATACATGCAGATTTCCTATACGATAATTAACTTCACCGGCGAGCGCGTTATCACCGCTTAATTTTAATTCATAATTTCATTGGTGCCGGGGGATCGATCCCAGGTTGCCTGCGTATTTTGAAACAGCTCACTACTAAACCCTGAGCTACCACGCCTTCAAATGCTAGTCATTTTTTTAATATTTTTATAGGATAAGGGTGACGAACGAGCACACAGTCCATCTGATGGTAGGTGGTTGCTATTGCCCATAGACATCTACATCAAACAAAATGCTGATGCGTTGTCACCCGTGAGGACTAAGATGGAATGCCTCATTTCCAGTAAAAAGGGTCTCCGGTTCTCTACACTCACCATACGAAACACAGCAGCGTTAAGCTGCTATTTTACGCCGGTATTCTGTGAGAGCGTGGTCCTTCACCGGTCGAGCCGACCCATTCGTGCTACAACAATGCTACTAATATAGCTGCAGCATGGCTCTACCACGTAAAAATTTACCGATAAATTTCAAAATGGAACACTTGTTATTTCAGATATTTTATGGATTTCGACGAATTCACTCGCTCAGTGGTATATACACATTATAATTTACCTACTATGACTGTAAAAAGGTTTAATATCAAAAATTAAGATTATGTAAGCACACACATATTAGGAAATAAAAATGATTGATTGATGGTAAATAATATTTTGAACTATTATTTTATGTGAGTCTGTTTTCACATGCGATAATTTTATTGGTTTGCTGAACACAAGAGAACGGGGAATCCTTGAAGTTGAACCAAAAAAAGATTTGGCTGCCATCGCGGTTTCTGAATAAAAAGTGTTCCAGCATACTTACACATACTTACACTTAACAGTGGTAGAGCTAAGCGGTAGCTTTTGCTGTCGCAAGGATGGGCCAGCTCGAACCGGGGTGGTACCACGACCTCACAGAATACCAGCGTGAAGTAGAGGTTCACCTCTGCGTTGCGCTTGGTGAGTGCAGGTGGCCGGAGGCCCATCCCCCCCCCCCCCATCAACATGGTAGTGGAATTAAATACAAGACTACCCCAGGAGGGTACCAGCACCCCTGGAGAATCCCTCGCTGAGCATCCACGACCAAACTACTTCACTCCTGAGCGTGGGTGCTCAGGCTCAGAATACGCGGGGCAGTATTCTGGTGGGGGGGGGGGGGGGGGGGCAAAATTCCGTTCGTGACAAATGCTGCTCGGGGCAAGCGGAGCAATACAACCAAGGCGACCCCTGTCACGCTATCCGTGAATTTTTGCAACATCAGGGGACTTCATTCCAACCTTAACGCTGTCCATTACCATCTAGAGACGGCGAAGCCGGCCTTGCTCTTTTTAACCGAGACTCAGGTGTCCTCTCCGGCTGATACTTCATATCTCTCCTACCCGGGATACAAATTGGAACACTCCTTTGTGCCCCGGGCTGGAGTTTGTGTATACGTCAGGGAGGACATCTGTTTTCGACGCCTCGGCAGCCTTGAAGGTACGGACCTGTCCATCCTATGGCTGCGCGTAGACAGCGACGATCATCCCCGCGTCTACGGGTGCCTCTATAGGTCCCATAGCGGTAATGCCGACACAGACCGACTCATCGACCACGTCCAAATGGCTGCAGACTCCGTGCTACAACAGGTCCCATCCGCAGAGATCGTGATACTCGGTGATTTCAACGCCCACCACGCTGAATGGCTTGGTTCTCGTTTAACCGATCATGTGGGTAGATCTGTGTACGACTTTGCTTTGGCATATGGTCTAACACAACTGGTTACTTCGCCTACGCGGATCCCAGATGTGGAAGACCATGTACCTTCACTGTTGGACCTTCTGCTGACCTCTCATCCGGACGGATATCAGGTCTCCGTCGATGCCCCTCTGGGCTCTTCGGACCATTGTCTGATCCGGAGCACGGTGCCACTCACGCTCCAATCGCAGTTGCGATCTGCAGCTTGCCGCCGTGTTTGGCACTATAGGTCAGCTGATTGGGACGGGATGCGGTCTTTTTTTGCATCCTACCCTTGGGGGCGGGTTTGCTTCTCGCCGGAAGATCCCAGCGTTGTTGCCGATTCTGTTGGTGATGTGGTACTTCAGGGTATGGAACTTTTTATTCCATCCTCTGTGGTGCCCATCGGAGGCAGATCCCAGCCATGGTTTGGTCGCTCCTGTAAAATAGCATCACGCTATAAGCAGGAGTGCTACCGGGCCTGGGCTGATGCATAAACGTCTCGGGATTTAAACACCAGCGCACTTAAAAAGAAGTATAATTCCGCCTCCAGGTCCTTCAAAAGCGTCATTGCCAAGGCAAGGTCTGAGCACATCGGCGGAATTGGCGAGAAGCTAGTTCGCCTTCCTTCGGGAACCCGTGCATTCTGGTCTCTCGCCAAGGCTGTCCAAGGGAACTTCTGTCAGCCATCCCTTCCATCTCTGCACAGAGAGGACGACTCAATGGCCCATGCCGCAAAAGA